TCATATGCAGCATACCTTCGACAGGAGCTCAGGCGTATGCAAGAGAGGCTGCCCTATCGCCAGCTCGTACACTGCCCGCGCTCGCTCCGTCTCCCCCAAACTGCGCTCCAGCTCTGCGAAGTTGGCCCACGCACACCCATGCATGCTTCCCACGCCTGCCTCAGGAATCTTGGCTGAGGCACAACATACCTTCCACAGCAGTTCAGGCGTGTCCAATAAAGGCTGCCCGATTGCGAGCTCGTACACGGCCCGAGCTCGCTCCGTTTCACCCAGGCTGCGCTCCAGCTCTGCGAACTTGGCCCAGGCCTGACAGCTGGCGGGCTGCCATTGGAGGTACTTCTCATAGAGCATGCGACAGCGGTCGATGTTGCCCAGCTGTAACTCCATTTCAATGTACGCCTTGAAGATCTGGGTGGGTGTGTGGAGGGTGGGAAAACAAGGGTGACGGGAGAGAGAGCAGATGCCATGGGAGGTACTTCTTGTAGAGCATGCGACAGCTGTCGATGTTGCCTAGCTGTAATTCCATGTCGATGTAAGCCTTGAAGATCTGGGGGGTGATGTAAGGAGGTGACTTTTGAGTCGACTCAAAAGTCACTTCAAGATCTGGGGGGTGATGTAAGGAGGTGACTTTTGAGTCGACTCAAAAGTCACTTCAAGATCTGCGGGGTGATGTAAGGAGAGTTACTTCTCGTAGAGGGTGACACAGCTGTCGATGTTGCCCACCTGTAGCTCCATCTCTACGTACGCCTTGAAAATCTGGGAAAGAGTGAAGAGGGTGGGTGGGTAAACAAGGGTCACGGGAGAGACACCAGATGCCATGGGAGACACCAGCAGCAGAGAGGAAGAGCGAGATGTGCTGCCATACTTTCTCCTACTTACTTGCTCGTACCTTGTCGTATCGTACCATAAGAGATCAAATCGTATCTCACCTTGTCTTTAGGAGCGACGCCAATCGCGTGGCCCAGGATCTGCCGGGCGGCGGAGAGGCGCTTCTGGCGGATCTCAAACCTTCCAACCTTGTTGCCACACATCCAAACCGCACCTTGCCTTATCTTATCACTCTGCACCCCTGCCATACCTTGTCTTTAGGAGCCACGCCAATCGCATGGCCCAGGATCTGCCGGGCGGCGGAGAGGCGCTTCTGGCGGATCTCAAACTGGGCGGCGAGCAGCCAGATCTTGGCGAATGAGAACTTGCCATGTGGAATCAGCTTCAGGCACTCCCGGTACACCTCCCTCGTCCTCTCCATGTCCCCTGCTTCCAGCTCTTCATATAAAGCGTAGTTGATCCTGTAAGAAAAGGGAGAGCGTAGGTGTTGGTTACGGTGGTGGTGGTGGGTAGTGATGGGTGGAATCAGCTTCAGGTAATCCCGGTACACCTCCCTCGTCCTCTCCATGTCCCCTGCTTCCAGCTCTTCATATAAAGCGTAGTTGATCCTGTGTGAATAGGGAGAGAGTAGGTGTTGGTTATGGTGGTGGTGGGTAGTGATGGGTGGTGACTTTTTGGTTAGGGCCACTCCAGATACACCTTCCGCGTCCTCTCCATGTTGGCTTCCTCTAGCTCCTCATACAGTGCATAGTTGATCCTGATGGGGGTGTGGGGAGGTGGGAACAAGGAGTAAAGTGGGTACGGTGCATACAGATAAGCTTCAGGCAATCCCGGTACACCTCCCTCGTCCTCTCCATGTCCCCTGCTTCCAACTCATACAAGGCATAGTTGATCCTGTGGGGAAGGGGGGAGCGTGGGTGGGGGTGGTGTTCGGTTGTGGATGGTAACTGATGTAGGTTGGGACCACTCAAGGTACACCTCCCTCCCTCGTCCCCTCCCTCCCCCTGTCCCCTGCCTCTACCTCCTAACAAAGGATCCAGTCCCCACCTCCAGTCCCCACCTCCAGTCCCCACCTCCAGTCCCCACCTCCAGTCCCCACCTCCAGTCCCCACCTCCAGTCCCCACCTCCAGTCCCCACCTCCAGTCCCCACCTCCAGTCCCAACCTCCAGTCCCCACCTCCAGTCCCCACCTCCAGTCCTCACCTCCAGTCCCCAACATCACATAGTCAAACCACGCATCATAGTTCCTCAGATTCCTCTTCACCTCCTTGAGTTCCCACTGAATAAAGCTCACCAGAGGTAGATGTATCGCTGCCAGAAGCGCTTCTCGTCAGCAGGTGGAACATTCGCGATCGCCCGCTCATACACCTCCCGCACCCGCTCCGCCTCCCCCACGCTCTCCTCCAGCCTCACATAGTCAAACCACGCGTCGTAGTTCCTCGGATTCCGCTTCACCTCCTCCTCATACTCAAACCGCCTCTTCCCCACCACCACATCCTCTATCCCTGCCCTGTCCCCGTGCTGCTTCTCGAAAACCACGAATTTCTTATACAGGGATTCGGCCTGGGCCTTCGGGACATGGTCGAGGGCATATTTGTAAATCGCCCTTGCGCGTTCGGTCTCTTTGCATATCCGCTCCTCAAACTCGGCGAACGCGACGAAAAGTTCCTCGTTCTGCCCGTCCTCGCCGAGAATTTCAACTGCCCGCTCGTAGACCTCCCGGGCGCGCGCAATCTCCCCCTGCTTCACCTCGAATTTCGCGAAACGGATACACGCTTTCACCGTGGGTATGCACATGGTGTAGCGTTCAAACACGGCGCGAGCGCGCGCGATCTCGCCGTATCGAAGCTCGAATTTTATGTAGGCGGACCAGCCGTGGTGGTCGGGTTCCCATTTCATCCACCTCTCCAGCACCTGCCGTGCCCCTGCCACGTTCCCCAGCATCTCCTCCATGTGTATGTACTTGTACCTGCAGGGGAAAGTGGGGGGGGGGGGGGAGGAGGGGGGGGGACGGGGGATGGTGGTGGGAAAGGGTTTTGGGAAAGGTGTGTCGAGGGGTGTTATGAGAGGTGGGAAGAGGAACATAATCGCAAGACGAGGAACAACAGAGAAGGGTGAAATGATGCATCATGCCAAAACGAGAAGTGGAACTTTACGAGAGGTGGGAAGAGGAACGTAATTGCAATTATGGGATGAGGGGTGTTATGAGCGACAAGCCACCCATCCATCGCTCACCAGAGCTGGTCGATGCGGGGCAGCAGCGACACGGCGCGGTCCCACACGTTCCGCGCATGGTTGACAAAGCGGTTGCGCATTTCCATGTCCGCGTATTTCAGCCATATGGACACGTTCCTGGGGGAAGGGGGGAGGAGAATGGGGAGCGGGAGGGGGAAGGGGAAAAGGGGGGAGAGAGGGAGCAATTGCGCATCTCCATGTCCGCGTACTTGAGCCATATAGACACGTTTCTGAGATTGCAAACCCTAAGAATGGCGAGGACCGGGACGGGGAAAGTGGGGGGAGACAGGGAGCACTTACGAATTTACATTTCCGCATACTTGTGCCATATGAACACGTTCCTGAGGGACACCTACAATCACAATCACCTATAGTCACACTCACCTACAGTCACACTCACCTATAGTCACACTCACCTATAGTCTCACCCACCTATAGTCACACTCACCTATAGTCTCACCCACCTATAGTCACACTAACCTATAGTCCACCTCCAGCGCTCGCTCCCACACGGATCGCGCGCGCGCGAAGTCCTTCTGGCTCATCTCCCACGTGGCATATTTAACCCATACGCTCGTGTTCCACCTAACCCGCCTAATCAAATCTTCAAACTCCTTGCGCTTCCGCAATCGGTACTCCCCGAGCTCCTGCGCGTCAGTGATTTTCTGCTTCGGCGCCGCGGTTTCTACCTCCTGCCGTTCGCGCGCCTCGCGGAGGATTTGCTCCGCGGTGATCTGGACCGGCGCGGGAGTTTTGTTCTTAACGCGCGTCGCGCGCGGGAGGCGGATCTCCGACTCGCGCTTCGTCATGTACGCGAGCCGCGCGTCGGCTTCTTTAGAAGCCATGGCGGCGAGATTCCGGAAAAAAACTGCCGCCGACTATGAAGTCCACGTTGTGGCAATTAGGGTTCGGCGACGCGACTGATAATGCGACGGAAGGTGATATATTTCGACCGAAAGGAATGCGAAACTCGAGGACGAGCTGAAGTCTGCCTAGCCGAACAGATAAGGTATAACAGGCCTTCGCTTATAAGATCGGAGTTACCTAGGCTAGAGAAAGCACGACCAAAAGACCTAAAATAGAACACAGCCGACTAAAGAAGAGGCGAAAGTTGCGAGGGCCAAGGCCTTGGCGAAAAGAATTGAAAAACTGGTTTGTACCAGACGATTTTGGAGCTGGTGGCGAATTCGGGGACATTCTGGTAACCAGAAGCAACAATCGGAAATTTAGATCCACTGTGAAACATACTCCGATCAAATTCGCTTTCATTGAGGTTATGGTCGGTTGGAAAGAAAAACCAAGTTCAAGTACCTACACTCAGATTCATCCAGAGAGAAGGTAGAATCAGTAGATAGGTAGGAAATATAAATTTAATGCTTACATATATCAAACATGACAATTGCAGCCACAAGATGCCCCTATAACATGCACCAGCAGCAGATGGACTCCCTATTAGCTTCTCCCGATATGGAAAAGCACAAGGGTCCTGCCAACCGATTCGATCAGTGATGGTTACATCCTGGGGCATTCATTATTTACGCTTCACAAGCGTGGATAAACACCAAGCATAAGGCTCATGTTACGAATAGTACAATTTAATTGTTACTGAGCACTCCTCACCGCAGCAAAGAGAAGCACGCAGTATCGAAGCAAGAACGCGAATCGTCAGACGATTGGAGATTGACTCGAAGCATCAGACGGTTGGGGCGCATCCAGACAGTCGGAGCAGACGGCATCGGGCAGCTACAGACATGATGGTTTCGGCGGGAACAGTTTCGTAACTGTACGCGCCGCACGGTTGGGAATCTATTCGAATAAGGGAATGTACCCCTTAGAGTACATGGCTAGTTAGGTCGCTTCGTATTCCCCTGTACTCTTATTTATATCGTTGTACTTGCATGTTTTAATCATCTCAAGCATTTTACATTCACTCTGCTATTGAGGTCAAAGGGCCCACCAACTATCTGCCTACGTGCGAACCTTCCCGAGTAGATCCTGGTAAGCGATCATTCTCTGATCGTAGCATGGTATGAGAGCGGCTCGGGAATCCTTCGCAACACCACTCCCGAAAATTGCGACATTCGGAAAGTGGCGACCGGCACACGCTCGCGTGTGAGAATGGCCGGAGGATCTGGTGGTCAGACTAATCTGACGGCTGAAGCGCGCACCAATCCGGCTGCGACAAGCGAGGAAACGACTACGATCGGCACCGAAGTCCTCGCACAACTTCTTCAGCGACTCACCAGCCTGGAGCAGGGGCTCCAAACATTGCGGAACGGCGATGCGGGAACATCCTCGCAACCATCTCAACCGGCCCCAACTGGGCAGAACGCCGTCCCGCAAACCTTCTCCCTCGACACAAACTGCTCAACCCCCAAAGCTCCCCGTCCCAGTGAGGAGGCAATCCTCTCAGCACAATCAAAGTTTCTCAGCATATCAAAAATAAAGACAAGTACCTGCTTCGACGGCAGAGATTTCTATACCTGGAGCTTCGAATTGGAGCTCCTGCTGCAGAACGCCCAAATCTATCACTATTTCGACGGGAGCTACGCGGAACCCGCTGAGGACACCGACGACGCCAGGACTCGCTACTACAACGAGTCCCTGATGGCGTACGGGATTCTCCTGCGCAATATGTCGCCGGCGGAGCAGCTGAACATCCGTTCATAAAAGACATCGGCTGCTCCAGCCCTCGACGCCTGGCGCCACCTGAACGGCGTGTACCAGCCGAAAGACTCCGTCTCTTCGAGCCGACTGCTTCAGCAGCTACTGGAGACCAAGATGGCTCCAGGGGAGAAGGTCAACAGCTACATCAATCGCTGTCGGAGCCTTCGCGATCAAATCGTGAAGCTAGGGAGTTCGATTTCCGAAGAAATCTTCGTGGCTCGGCCCAGAGTGGCGGCCCTGCAAGGCGCTTCTCCGACAGCAGGGGGTCATCTCGGAGGCCGCCCTCTGCGCCGCCCTTCTTGTCGAACAAAGGGATATGGATCAGCAGCGACCAGCGCCGCGACGAGAAAGAGAACGGATCGCCTTCTACGCCGACAACAACGAAGAGCGACGTCCGAGGCGCCTCTACTGCAAAATTTGCAGGACTTTCGGGCACCTGGCGGATCGATGTAAATACCGATCTCGCCCTCGCCAGACCAATCCGAGCACCTGGTCCGGCCGACAAGACGCACGAGGCGACGTGCGTCCAGCCCAGGGGTATCAACCCCAACCCGCGCGCAACCTGAACCCCGCGGTTCAGCATCAGCAGCAGCAGCCGCCACCGACTGCCACAGTACGCAATGTCATGAGCAACATGGCCATGACAGGCGAGTCACGTCGTCGCCGCGCGCGCTCACCATCACCTGAGCCAGCACCGCATCCCATTGGCGCGTTCTCTAACAACAACCCATTCAGTCCGCGCCACGACTTCACCGACGACGACGACCAGGACTGGAATCTCCCAGTCCCGCTGCTTGAAAGTCCCCCGCACGTACCTGACATGCGGGTGGCGCTCCTTGATTGGCTCTCGCGCGAGCAATTTCTGAAGTTCGACACTCCGCACATCGTCACGCCGCGACTGGCGCTGCTCGCACGTGACGACAACAAGCGCCACAACACCTGGTACCTGGACAGCTGCTGCGGCCAGCATATGGTAGGCTCCGAGCGTTACATATCCAACGCCGTCGACATCCCCACAGTCACTTACGTCACAGTGGCGAACAACACGCGCCTGCGCGCAAGCGCGCAAGGCATCGTTGTGCTCAAAGCACGCGGAAGCCGCACGCATATCACGCTCAACGATGTGCTGATCGTCCAGAACCTGCGCTTCAACCTCCTGTCCGCCGCACAGCTCATGGATTGCGGCGTAGAACTCAACACGAATCGCGCGACCCGCGACATTCTGCTGCACTACGAATCGCGCACCTTTTCCCGCAGGCAGATCGGACGGGCACACTCCGAAAATGGAGTGTACGTCTTGGATTTCGACATTCCCGACTGCAGCGGCGATTCGCACGAGTTAATCGACCTCGTGCCACTGCGCTTCGAGCACATCCACCGTAGGAACTGGAAACACCCTGACGGGAGACCGTGGGTGCCGCATCACCCCCACCCACGCGAAACGGCGCTGCACAATCCTGACTCAGACGGAATCTGCAGGGACTGCCACACGCCGACGTCGTCGAGCAGCGCCATTGCCGGCCGTGGACTCGCCGCCATCGCGGAAGTAGAATGACACGCGCCGCCAGAAGAAGGGATGTCGCAACTCGAACTAGAAGTCACTACTCAGCGTGTGTTCGGCACCGAACAAAGCCCCCACGCTGGACCACCCTCTCAGCGCCATGAAGGCATTCTGCGTGGACAACGCCGCGGAACCTTCGACACGCGCGGAGTGGCGCGGCCTTACACCCGCGAAGAGTTCCTGAAGATTTACCCCCACTGGCGCGATCCCACGGCAACACACATTGTGGAACAGGAGGAAGAACTGGCGCGCCGCGAAGCCGAGGAGCTTCGCCAACAGAGCCTCGCCGAGGCACGCGGAACGTTCGCTTGCGCCGCATGGGGCGCCGAAGCTGAAGAAAGCGCCACCAATGAAGGGGGGTGGGGAAGCGTCGGCGGTTGGGGAACGGCTGAGGCTGGCGATTGGGGCAACACCGGCGGAACCTGGGCAACCGCAACCGGCGGATGGGGCGCCGCATCTGGCGCCGACACGAGTGGCTGGGGCACCCCTACTGGAGACTGGGGGACTTCCCGCGAAGACCAAAGGGGGGGAGAAGAAGAAGCTGGAGAGTCTGCAGTTGTTCCCCTCGGTCGTCCCCCACGCCATGTCCCACTCGCGTTACCTCCTCCCGACAACCCACCGCGCCGCGATCCATGGGACACCATCGACTAGGGCAACGAGCCGACAACCCCGCGTCGCACCGCTTACGGACCGGCTCCCGAACCACGCGAACCAACCCGTCTCTTCCCTGGAACCATCCCTGGGACCAACATTTCACTCTCTGAGATTCGCGACAGAGAGTTTCTGGCGCTGATGCTGACTACCGCGGCAGAAGAAGAAGATGCAGAAGAAGCAGCAGCAGAACCTGCTCCCGTACCTGATGAAGACCCGGAGGAAGCCCGCGCGCGCTACATGCGCACCTCCGGCTTTCGCGCCGACGATGCACTTTGGCACCAGCGCCTCGGACATCCCTCACGCGCGACGCTGAAAAACTGCATCGACGCAGGCGTCTTCGCCCCTGGCGCACTCCTGCGCCCTGACGGCACCGAAGTGAGAGGCACGACACATCCACGCAATTGCACCGTCTGCCCCGAAGCTGCGCTAAGCCACCAACCGTTCCCGCTGCTCGAGCCAGGAACAAACCGCTACCCCAAGCTGCACAAAGTGTACAGCGACTTTCTCAACGTGGGGCACTGCGGGGTCGACGACGAGCACTACACACTTACCTTCATCGACGCTGGAACACGCTATGTGTGGGTCGTGAACGTGGAAACTCGCGACAGGGCCTACGAAGTGTTCCGCCTTTGGCTGGCGCACGCGCAACGGCAATCTGGGGAGAAACTGATGATCTGGCAATCTGACGGCGCAGCAGAGTTCAGGAGCAACCAGATGCAGACTTACCTGGCGCAAAAGGGGATCGAGCATCACATCTCTCTCCCCTACGCACATCAGCAGCAAGGCGTAGCCGAGCGGACGAATCGCACACTGATGACGAAGGTGCGGGCGCTGATGAAGCAGTCGAAGCTGCCGCCGATCTACTGGACTTACGCGATGCACCACGCCGTGCGGGTGCACAACCTGCTTTCAACCACCGCGATCACCGGGAATCTCTCCCCGCACGTCAACATCAACCATCGGGACCAAGGGGGATACCTCCATGCTCCGCGTATGGGGGTGCATGGTGCAGTACCGCCCGCCAACATCAACCATCGGCAAATTCGCCAGTCGCGCGCGCTGGGGAATTCACCTCGGCATCAGTCACGAGCACAAGGCATGGATCGTACTGGACCTCCTCAGTCAGAAAACCGCCCACGCTCGCGACGTAATCTTCTACGAGCGGCTCTTCCTCGACCAATTCCGTCACGACGAGGAAACGAACGCGAATCGCGCTTACGCGAACGACGGGCACAGCTACGCAACGCCCGAAGATGAGGCCGCTGCAGCAATCCTGGAGCAGGATACAAGGGGCGAGTTCACATGGGAAGATCGGCGCAGCAGCGACGACGACGACGATTCCTCAGGAGGAGGAATGGGCGGAACAGGCGGAAGCGGCAGAGGCGCAGCACCACCAGCGCCACCTGAACCGGAAAGCGATGACGACGATGTGCAGGAAGTCGTCCCGCAACAACGCCACGACAGCACCATCTCAGGATTACACCTGCTCGGGCTTCATTTGCAACCTCAAAGTCGCCACGTGTAATCGAGCCCCGAAATCCGCGTGAAGCTCTGTCTGGGCCACACAGCAAGGAGTGGCGCGAGGCAATGGATGCGGAGATCAAGGCGCTCGAGTCCCGAGACACCTGGGTGCTAGTCGACCGTGCGGCAATCAAAGGTGCAAGAATCCTTTCGGGAAAGTGGGTCTTCCGCGTGAAGACCGCAGCTGACGGAACGATCGAGCGCTTCAAGGCGCGCTGGGTAGTGCGCGGCTATGACCAGAGGCATGGCATCGACTTCGACCAGACATTTGCTCCAGTCAGTCGCCACACCTCCGTTCGAATCCTGCTCGCCATCGCAGCTGCAAGGCACCTGCCACTCCGCCAGATCGACGTGAAGAATGCGTTCCTGTACGCGCTAGTAGACGCCGTGATCTACGTGGAGCAGCCGCACACCTATGGCGAAGGAAATTCGCGCGTGTGTCAACTGCGCAAGTCGCTCTACGGAATCAAGTAAGCACCGAGGCTGTGGCAGCAGTACCTGCACAATATCCTGCTTGAAATCGGGTTCAAGCAGATGCCCCACGACCCAGGGATGTACCGCCGCGATTTCCGCGGGGAATACATCCTCCTCACGGTCTACGTCGACGACTTGCTCTACACGGGCTCAAACAACGAGCTGCTCGAACAGTTCGAGAAGGCTTTGGCGGGGCGCGTCGACATCACGTGCAATTACGAGGTGAAGCAGTTCCTAGGCCTCAACATCTCCTACGCGCCTGAAGCCATTCACCTCTCAGCGGCTAAGTACGCAGAGGAGTTAGGGAAGCGGTTCAACATTCCCCCTGCACCTCTCTCGACACCCTACCGAACCCCTGGACCGAACCACAAACCCGACAACAAAGCCCTATCCCCTGCTGGAGTTCAGACTTACCAGCAGCAGCTGGGATGCCTCCTCTTCGCCTCTGTCACCTGCAGGCCAGACCTCTCCTACATCGCAAGTCAGCTTGCCCAGTACTCACGGAAACCAACGGCTGAGAATCACCTGGACCTGCAGCGCGCTTTGCAATTTTTCGTTTCAACGCCCAAGATTGGGCTGTGCTACTCAACTGCACCAACCCCATCCTTCAATCTCGTCGGCTATGTGGATGCCGATCATGCAGCAGATCCCGACAATCGACGGTCCAGGACCGGCTTCCTGTTCCGACTCGAACCAACGGGGCCAATCTCCTGGAACTCACAGAAGCAGGAGCTGGTTGCCCTGTCGTCAGCCGAAGCAGAATTCATCGCAGCAACCGCAGCAGTTCGCGAAGGCCTCTATCTGCAGGAACTCCTGCAAGAGGCGAAAATTCCAGCCTCGCCAACTTTTCGACTTCACTGCGACAACCAGAGCGCGATTCGCATCGCGAACAAACCTGGTTTCGTCAATCGCACCAAGCACATTGCGCTGCGATACTTCTTCGTGAAGGACGAGGTGGACAAGGGCAAGGTCAACTTGACCTATTGCCCGACCGGTGACATGGCAGCAGACTTCCTCACGAAGCGACTGCCACGCCAGCAGTATCAACACTGCTCCGAACTCAGCGGCGTGGTCAAGCAGGTCAAATTGAGCTGCGGCCAGGAGTGAAGGGGGGTGTTACGAATAGTACAATTTAATTGTTACTGAGCACTCCTCACCGCAGCAAAGAGAAGCACGCAGTATCGAAGCAAGAACGCGAATCGTCAGACGGTTGGAGATTGACTCGAAGCATCAGACGGTTGGGGCGCATCCAGACAGTCGGAGCAGACGGCATCGGGCAGCTACAGGCAGGATGGTTTCGGCGGGAACAGTTTCGTAACTGTACGCGCCGCACGGTTGGGAATGTAATCGAATAAGGGAATGTACCCCTTAGAGTACATGGCTAGTTAGGTCGCTTCGTATTCCCCTGTACTCTTATTTATATCGTTGTATTTGCATGTTTTAATCATCTCAAGCATTTTACATTCACTCTGCTATTGAGGTCAAAGGGCCCACCAACTATCTGCCTACGTGCGAACCTTCCCGAGTAGATCCTGGTAAGCGATCATTCTCTGATCGTAGCAGCTCATACGTACCCAGCTCACATATTGGCAGCCGCTTTTGCTACATCTGTGCCTCTCATTCCTTGGTTGATGGAAAACGGATGCAGCGGAATGACGGATGAAGGTTGAATGATATGGCCTGTGAGTAGAACACCGGACTCATGATCAGCAGCAAAGGTTCTGATCGCTTTACAGCGTGCTGATGATTCGAGCGGCGTCGAAGCAGTGAATCGACGTGAGCGCGATGGTCGTAGCACGGGCGGGCGCTCATGCGCAGCGCGAATGACCTCGATATCGCGCTCCAGTTCGGCAAGGCACTCCTCTGCGCCGCGCACTCCTTCTTTGCGCACCACAGCACCCCGCGGCCCAACGTAACGCCGTGCTCCAGATGGCGCAGCAGCGCGCGGATCCCCACGCGCACGCGCTTCAGCACGGTTATGCCGGCGGCGGCGAGGGATTCGCCAGAGGCGAGGGCGTCCTGGCTGTGGTCAACGCGGTCAACGGGGTCAATGCGAGCGATGCTCGACGTGGCGGTTTGGACGTGCTGCAGCATGCGAGCGTAGGATAGGAGGAATTGCGCAATGGCTTCGTGCGACATGAAGACCGGAGTCGGCGGGAGTGACGGCAAGGAAGTTCGACATGGCTTTGGTGAAATTCAGGTGTAAAATTTCACCCCTTCAAATGTTACTCGAACATTCGCAAATGTAGCGGTTCGATGTTACGTGCGCGACTCGATGTTTGCAGTTTATATAAATTTGTGTTGCTTTGTATTGCATGATCATACTGAGAATCAGAGTTCGAATTGCACTGTGACTACACGATTCTCAGAATTATCATACAGTCGTGGTGTGTGAGATGTGTGACGTGTACCGCCGCAAGTTCCGTGGCTCCTCCACCAAGTGCTCTGGGTCGCTGGAAAGCCTCTGAAGTCAACCGAGAAAATTGGCCACCAAAAATTGTACAATATCATCCCAATAACCACCTGAGGCGCACATCGCATGACGCAAACAGTGCGATCCGCGCCAGTTTTGAAACAGTAGGTGGAAAGCTACGTGCTGATTGGACAAAAAAATCCACGTGGAATCATCCTGCTTATCCCATAAATTCAAAATGTATTGTGGCCGTAGGAAAATACACGTAGATCGCTTCGAAGGGGGACAGACTGCACAGTTTCCCAGGAAGTTGCTCCTCCTCCCTGCTGTGCTGACTTTCACAGCCAGCTGGCGGTAGCAAGTTGGCGGGAGTCGTGAGTATTGCATGAATCCAAGCCAAGCCCATCCCCCCCAGCTTGTGCGCGAAATTTGACATCGGCTGCGCCTCGCTCTCATCATCCACGGAGTGTGGTTGGTTGGTGGCGTGCGCAAATCTTGTGGATGATGTGCCGCGGCTCCTGGACAGGGGAGAGCAACAGGTTGGCCCAACGCCCATCTCTAAAAATGAAGATCCCAGATTCTTTACTTGTCTGGTAACATCCTGCGAATGTCCAGCCCCATAAACGGAATTGTGAAGTTCGCGTTCGTCGAAAACCTTGTTGAGCCGAGGAATATTGGGCGGGATTTGCGAAAGCGAACCAGTGCCGCTTGTGACACCTTTTTACTTGCTAGTTTCGTGCTTACAGGTAATTCTTCGCGAAATCGCTGACCAGATTGGGATTTTCGTTCACCTGGAATGTACACACACCCACACCACCCAGCACTACTCATATTGTTGGATCGCAAAACTATTCCGCATATGAAGGCTCTTTCTATTTACTTCTACAATCCTCCAGCGCCACCACCGTAATCTTTCCAGGTGCTGTCTTCACAGTTATTTCAGGGTCTCTTTTCCATCAGATTCATGACGACACTCAGCTGCCCCGCTACGGTCACGAGGCTCGTAGCGTCGCGAGCAGCAAACCCGAAGCGGCTTCATACGCGGCGCGACACTGTCTGCCGAGTCGCTCCCCCAAATAATTCCTCCCCCGAACCCGTCAACATTCTTAACCCCGCCACATGTAAGCGCCCAAAAAATACACAGATCCGAAGCACCATGATGTACCGTCGCTTTCTTTTCGTTCGTTTTGTGTTTCTTTCAAAAGCAAGGGTTCATTTAAGAAAAGCGCTCCAGTACTGATTTTGTGAGAAGCCGCTGGCTTTGAGCATCGTAGTAGGCCGTCCACTTTCTTGGAAAATAATGAAGGCCCACATGGTACCGCGCGCAACCTGTTTTAAAAGTGAAACGTCCAGAAAGTCTGGGGTCAGAACGTATTTCTCAGTTGACGTCTCAAATCGCGAAGTTGACGCTTTTTTCCGTGTCCCGTGCATATTCTCTCTCCAGGGTTCGGGAAACCGTCCAAGGCGGCGGCGCCGCAACCAGAGCCTGCAGAAGAGCCTGAGCTAGAACCTCTTGCGACGCTCCCGCCGACTCCGGTTTTCCCGTCCAACCAAGCGATGAGTCTGTTCCTGCAGTCGTATGCGCGCATGCTGCAGCACGTCAAGACGGGGACGGTGGTCGGAAAAGGGAGAAAAGTCGGCGTTGACCACAGCCACGACGCGCTGGTTTCTGGAGACTCGCTCGCCGCGGCTGGCGACACTGTGCTGGAGCGAGTGCACCTTGGGCTCGGCGCGCTGCTACACCATCCCCAGCATGTAAGCTCCGATGCTATGCTCATTTTTTTCTGCAGAGAATTAAGCAGCAGTGAGACCAAATCACGGTTTTGCAAAGTGGTTATCGCCTGACTTCTTTCGTGTGTGCTTTTTGTTTTTTTTCTTTTTTTTTTTTTCTCTTCTTTCCTTTGGTTTGTACATCTCTGGTGCGACAGGGCGTGCAGGGAGGGACAGTGTGGGGCCGCAAGGAGGAGGCGGTGGAACGGTGTCTGGAAGAGCTAGAGAAGGACGTGGAGCACATGAGGGATGCCCATGAGAAAGCACCGCCTGCCACCACGCTGAACCTTGCTACAGCGCACTGCTTGGATGCTGCAAAGATGATCAGCAAGCTCTGAGAGGATGATTGGTGTGGGAAGTGCTTTTGCTTCATTTAGTGTTGGATAATCAGGGTTGGTCTGTTCATAAGGGGGTATAAGTTGATAGTGCATTTGAAAGAGTGCTTGCTCCAGGGGTCTGTTGAGGTATGTATGTCTGCACTTGTTCCTTACAGTGTTGCTTATATATATGGCTCCAATGTACAACAATTTCACAACGTCACAATGCTGGAAACTAACCTAGTCTCAAGCTTAGAAAGAGAAATATATAGACGTTTGCTGAAGTCTTCAGATATATAGAGGTTTGCAGTGCACCAGAATTGTTTGAAATCAATTTGCGGCGTGCACGTGTGTTCCATATGTTGAGGAATATTTATCCTGCTTAGTGGCCATAGGGAGTTTATTGTTTGTTGTTTTGGATGCCAGAGCTCTGAAACATGCTAACATAAGAGATTTATCAATAAGGTGTTCATTCTCCAATGAGTCCTTGGGCATTTCGCGCCAAGCAGCACCAAATTCAGTATGGTGAAAAGCAACACGAATTCCTTGCATGAAGGCACTTCTGCCACGCTACTCCGTAAAGCTGATTTGATTGGCGGAATGATTTTCCCTCTCTCAAAATTTGCTGCCGAGCCTCATTTCGCAAGCTTCGGATTGCTGGTGAAGCCCGACACCTCCTGCCACCGAGTCGCGCTAAGCTAACAACACCCTCAAAAAATTGGAATTTCGTAACAGACCTGCGTCAGCCGGACCGCACCAAGCCTCTCAGCATGCCATGGCTGGCATTCAGATTCTGACTATTCGTTGTGGTCAGCGGGGAGATGCGCGTGATGAGGAATAATGCGCCATGTGTCTACATTCCCCAGCGCCAGGCAGCAATGACAAGGGCGAAGAGGGGAGGGGAACAGAGAGGGGGACACGCTGTTCCTCCGCCACTTCGGCCCTGGCTTCCGCTTTCGTCTCCCCATGCCCACCCAAACCTGACAGAGATCGCTAGGAAACCGAACCGCTTTGACTAGAGCATCGCACGCTCCGAGCCTCGGTCCCCTCGGCTTCGAGCCTCCAAATGATCATATTCTTGGCACAGCCAATGTCCATGGCAGGCATCCACAACATTCCCAAGGTGATGCTCCTGGTTTGCTGGTAGCTGCTTGCTTGCTTTTGGCATCCTGCCTGGGACCGGGCTGCAGAGCAGACCCTGGAGGATTGACTGACGGAGTGCTTTCAGTCTCTGTTCTCCCCGAAATTTTTAATAGCCTCGTTCTTACCGCTGGACGTGTGTCTTGGACTCGTCTGCCTTCTATAGTTATAGTTTTTTTTTTTTTTTTTTTTTTTTTTAGATAACGACGCCTCCAGCGCATCCAGCCTTGATAACGACGTATAACAAAAGCCACAGTGGTCGTATTTATAGCGAGGCGTATATTTCATCCTTAGCTGAACGGGATTCGAATATTTCTAAGGACTGCAATAGGTTATGACGAACGTAGATGGCGAAAAGGGTTCTCATTCATTGGTGAGAGCTCGAAGCTCGAATACCTCTCAGGATTCGCAGAGAAGACGAGGAAGAGCCGGCGGGAAAGGAGAGAAAGGATGCGGGAGAGACAGCAGAGACGGGTCTTTGCTTGATGATGCCACTCAAGGGGAATCTGGTGAGGAGAAACTTGGCTTAGTTGTCATAACGTGTCGTAGGCGATGTGGCGAATGCAACAGAAGAGGTCAATAGGCTTCATCGGTAGACATGTTCCGAGATGTTTGACTGGCCAGCCTAGGATACCGTTGGACGATATGCTTGTAGGAGAGCGTGAAGAGATACTTTAAGAGATGGATTTCTTTTTTTCTCGCTGCTTGACTATGTCCCACTGTGTACCATCGTATTAGTAAAGAGTTTGCCGTCCTATCGTTCGTGTTGCTACTCTAGCCTGTGTTCGCCTGCGTAAGAGCGCATAGCCTGATGCTTCTTATCATTGACCTCTAATGTCGCATTCTTTAAATGACTTCAAATATATCTCCGCGCTCCGTTCCAGCATGTATCATTCGAAAGTATTTTCCCCTGTTTTGCGCGTAGAACGAGTGCGAGTGACCATCCGAGTACGGCCGCCTACAGAAGAGGAAGCAGCCAGCAATGGAGAGTTCGCGATGGACATTTCCCCTGAGGACTGCACCGTTGTCCTTCACAGGTAACGTCCGTCGGATCCGTGTATTGTGTTTCTTAGCCACCATAGAAGCCAAGTATAGAGAGCGCACAATGAGTTCTTCTCTTCGACGGTAATACCATTATCCGTCACGGGTAGCGTCCTTGAGTTCCGTATATTGTGTTTTTTAGACACCTACAAAGCCAGCAAGAAAGAGCTCCCAATGATTTTATCTCCCGACGACAACACCGTTGTCCTTCACAAGATCCATGTCTCTCTGTCGCTTACTTCCGCCTTGACCATCCGTCTGTAGAGTCCTGGATCTGCGAATGAGAACAAAATAGTAGGACCGCTGCGTCGGTAGTTTGCTCGGTGTATCGTGAAGTTTACTCATGTACTCTTCTGGACTCACGTTTGTCACGCTTCGTCGGGCATGATCCGTGTGCAACAGGAGCAACGGTCAACTGGAGCAGATGGAGTTCGAATTCGACTCCGTTCTCCCGCCAACGGCCACTCAGGCGGACGTGTATCAAGTCGCCGCCAAGCCCGTCGTCGCGGTTCGTGCAACAATCGAATGTTCTTAATATTTTGTTTGCTTCCTTCGTTGTCCATGCGCTCTCGTCCCTATTGTCGCTGTCTCCATTCCCTCCATTCCGGCCTCCCTTTGAACGGCGGTTTCATGGCCGCTTATGATTAGCATTCAAAGCTGTTTACCCTTGACCTCGTCAAGACCTCTTCCGTGTTTTCGTTACAGGATGTGTTGAACGGTTACAACGGCACGATCATGGCGTATGGTCAGACAGGGGCCGGAAAGACGTACACGTTCTCGAGCACCAAGCCTCCGCACCTAAGACTCTCCCCCGTCCTTACAACCTCGTCCGTATTCTCGTTACAGGATGTCCTGAACGGCTACAATGGAACAGTCATGGCGTATGGTCAGACTGGCGCTGGGAAGACGTACACGCTCTCGAGCACCAAGCCCCCGCACCTAGGCATCATTCCGCGAGCCGCGGCTGAAGTGTTTGTGATGGCCCGAGCAGACCCCAGTCACACGTACAGGGTGTCGATGTCGTACATTCAGATCTACATGGAAATGGTATGGCCGTTGATTATTATCGTCCCGTGATTTGTGAGTCTTCTCGGAGTTTTTTTTGCAAATCTCTCGCGCTTTTTTCCCTACGCACGTTCGACTGCTCCTCCCTGTACTTCCCCTATCTTTCCCCTTTCCCACCCTCTTCCCCCACCTCCCAATCCCTCCTCCCGCTCCCTCCCTTCCCCCTCCCGGTTTCGTTCCGTCCGGCTCGACTCTGCAGATTCAAGATCTGCTACGACCGTCGAGCTCCAACATGCGACTACGGGAGGGCGAGTGACGCACGCGTGTCGCCCTTTTCACGTTCGTCTCCTCCTCCCCGTGCTCCCCCTCTCCCCTCTTCCCCGTCTTTCCCCCCTCTCTTTCCCCCATCCCTCCCCCTCCTCTACCCCCACCACTATTCTCCCGCTTCCCCTCCGCGTTTCGTTCCGACCGACTGGACACTGCAGATTCAAGATCTGCTGCGACCGTCAAGTTCCAACATGCAAATACGGGAGAGCGAGAACGGCGTGTACATCTCGGGGGTGGAGGAGGTGGAGGTGACGTGCGTGGAAGATTGCCTGAAACTGCTGGCCGTCGGCGAGAGGAATCGCACTGTCGCCTTCACCAAGATGGTGAGTGGGAGTATGCCGGGATAATTGACTCGCTATAGAGTTCCTCGATAAGGCAAAACAGCCGGGTAGCTGGGAGCGAGGAGTGTACATCTCCGGGGTGGAGGAGGAGGGGGTGACGTGCGTGGAAGACTGCCTCAAGCTGCTGGCTGTCGGCGAGAGGAACCACACCGTTGCTTTCACCAAGATGGTGGGTCACAAGACCCGACCCGGTTCGTTATGAAGTTTCCTGATTAGGACAGGACATACTGTCCTCCTGTGCAATCTGTGTCGTGATGATGTGACTCACTCATTGCTCGTTTGCGAGAATCAGCGGCCGGGCCACTCGGCGAGGTTCGCCCGCTCGAGGTTTCGTGCTGACTGTTTGCGTTACGTTGCCCCGCAAACGATCAAGGAAGATGGCCAGGTTCGATGTTTCGCCTAGCGTCTCAATTTTGTCACCTCAATGTCACTTTCCGCTTTGCTTCCCGTCTGTATCGACTCCCTCGTCTCTCTTCCGTGTTCCTTGCTTCGACCTTTCCCCTTTCCCGTGTCAGAACGCGCACTCGTCGCGCAGCCACGCCATCGTGATCATTACCGTGGAGAAGAAGCGAAGGAATGAGGCGGAGAGCAGCGACTCCGAGGTGCATTCCGGGCCTGCTTTTGAGATGCCAAAGAAATCCTTTCCGTCACCCCTCCCTCTGCTTCGCCTTTCCCGTTCCTTCACTCTTTCCCCTTTCCCGTGTCAGAATGCGCACTCGTCGCGCAGCCACGCCATCGCGATCATCACGGTGGAGAAGAAGCGAAGGAAGGACGCGGAGAGCAGCGACTCCGAGGCGCATTCCGGGCCTGCAGCTGCTGCTGCGGGGCACGGGAGCGACGAGCACCGCAAGCCTGAGAAGAAGGACAAGTGAGTGCGCGCTGTGTTGATAATAACATGCGTTCGGCGTGGGTTTGCAGCACCTTCCCCCCCTTCCCCTTCATTTCCGTATTCCCCCTCACACTCTCCTTCCCTCACACTCTCCATCCCTCACACTCTCCTTCCCTCACACTCTCCTTCCCTCACACTCACCTTCCCTTACACTCCCTCGTTTCCCTTAATTCTCCTTCTACCCTTTTCTCCAACCCTCCGCTCCTCGCTCTATCTCCGCGAACCCAGGATTCTGGTGGGGAAGCTCTTTCTGGTGGACCTTGCAGGCTCAGAGCGGC